GAAGCGTACCGAGGTGGAGCTGGGTTCGAATGGAGAGTGCCGTTCTTATACAGACACATTTTCCCTCACACATCTTTTCTCTCCAGATAAACTCCCTCATTTCCCATCTTTAAAACTCTTCTATCTTGCCAGTAAATCATCCAGATATTTTCATAAATGTCTGTTGTAATTAAGCTGTGTTATTGCTTCAATCAGAATAATCACATGTATAATGTTTGATGTTAAATTTTGATTCTGTTAATAAATGACCACATTCATTTTGATGGGTCAAAGATAATTAACGTCTCACGTCACTGATTAAACCATCTCCCACACTGTATCTCTGTCACATATCTGTCAAGTAGCTCGAAAAAGAGAGAACCCGTTTAAATTAAGTATAATATCAGGTACTTGAACTAGTCCAGATATTATAACGTGTAGTGGAGCTCCGAAGCTAAGCAAAGCTAACCGACCTATCTCACTACATTTCTGGTGGCCGGTACAGGTCTCTGAAGAGCTCCTCGTGAACCGATATCCACCATTTGGACATTTCGTGGCCGTACGAATGTTTGAAGAGGCGTGAGTTAAATGTGACGGAGTCTGTGTTAATACGTGAACTGAGTGTTGGCATGAAAAGTGCAGCTTTCTGATCTATCAGCTGCGTGGTTCGGTTCTAGAGAACGGCTCGGACGAGTCTAAGAACAACGCTGTTTTAGAGCTGAAAGTAACGTCAAGGTGTTCATTAAAAGCTGAAATGGTACATCTGTTATCTGTGAGCTAATAAGCTGTGGAAAGCGTTTGATTATGTTTAAACTGTGGTGCAGAGAGGAACGGGTTCTGCTTAGACCCGGTTCTGTTCCGGCTCGGTTCTGATTCGTTCGAACGAGTCGTTTGCATGGATAAACTGCTGTTTTGACCTGAGCGCCGTCTCAGTACGCTGTTGAGAGTTTATTCGTCACATTTTTAACAGAAAATTGTGCATTTTGACAGTTTTAATGACGAAAGTTGACCGGACTTTTTCAAGCTAATGCTAACAAAGATAGCTAGAATGACGATGCGCCATTGGTCGAAAGCCGCTGTTTGGGTAGCTCTGATTCGCTGAGAGACGAGTGACGTGTCTGTCGTCACTTCCTCTGATGTCAGGTTGTAAAACCCACCCCCGCCGCTGCTCTGTCATTGGTTGATTCAGTCACGTGACCCGGAAATGAAGCTCGTCTTCATAGTGAATTTCAATCTGTTGTTTAAAGTTGAAAAACGCTTTAAAGTTGGTTCTGAACCGCTGTTCCGATTATTAAAAGCCTAATCGCTGAAACTTTGCCACGTTTAAGTTTTAAATCCGTCATTAAATGGTGTTTTTGGACCACGCTAGCCAATGCTAAATTCTTATGCTAACGGCTAACGACCGGATGTCACCAAAGCCACAGGAAGTCATCGCGACTCCTACTGGTCGCCACTAACAGTGTCAGGGTTAAAATAAAATAAGGTTATACTGCCACCTCCTGTTGGAAACTTGAAATCACAGTTTCACTTCGTTTTTAGGATTTTGGTTAAATTGAACGCTCGTATTTCTTTAAAATAAGCATTTTTGAGTTAATAAACGTTCCTCAAGCTGATTTATACTGTTATGTTATCTTACCATTAAAAGTCAGTAAAGTATTTATGCCCAGAGAGGCGTTTACTAGGACATTTTTCATTCACTGATAAATCCTCAAGCAGGTGCAAAATGAAAAAGTGAGAACTTTTTGATAGATACAGTCACAGATAATCACAGAGCTGATCAGTTTACTCATTTGCTGAAAAGGAAATACACGTTTAATTGTTAAAACACTAAATAAGAGTAATTATATCAGAAAAAGGAAACTTTTCTGATTTATTTTACCACCTAAAAACACAACATCTTCCAGTCTATTTATTTAAATAAAATAAATAAAGAGATAATGGAAAAAGAGGAAATAAACATTGACTTTTCAGACTCCCAGTCAGAAGATGACAGTCAACAAGATGACATCATCCAGGGAGCTTTAAATATTTTAACAAACCCAATAATTGGCACACAATTAGAAGAGATGGATGAAATTCAGAAAGCTACGGTACTAAAAAGTTTAGCAGAAAATGCCATGGTGGCAGAGAATAAAAAGCTGAGCCTTGAACGGTTAGCAAAAATTTCTCTGCTTCTCAAAGACAAATTAAATCAACAGGTTGAACAAAATGACGTGCTGTCTAAAGCATATGCAGCAGACAGAGAGGCTTATCTCAAATTCATGGCACAGTCTAAACTTGCTGAAGAGACCGGTGCACATGAGTTAAAACGTGAGAGGGAGCTCTCACAAAATTACCTTACTTTACAAGCTCACTCATATGAGGAGAAATTGAAGGAAAGGGAGGTCAAGTACCAAAAGTTGTGCTCAGACAACGATGCTTTACAACAACAGTTGCAAGAAGCATCAAATGCTCTGAGCGGATGCAAATCTGAGATAGACGTGCTTAAAACACAACTTTGCCATGCAGAAAGGAAATACGGTGAGAGGCATGGACAGAATGTGGGGACACACTGGGCTTCAGACCCAAATCTCCTTACATCACACACACCTCCACCCTTACCTAAAGTAGCAGGGACAGACCTGAACAGGTTTCCACTACCAAGCAGGCAAGAGAGACCATTGAAACTTCCTCTTTCAATAGATGATCTTCAAAAACTCTCAAAATATGTACAACGCTTTGTACCTGGCCCAATGGGTTCAACTGGTACAAAAGCGTATCTCAAAGACCTTGATTTCAGACTGAGTGGTTATCCTAATGCTACGGTTGAGGATAAAATCAGTCTGATAAGACTCACTTCGGACAGAGAGGTGTTCACCTTCATCGAGCGTCAACCTGATGCAACGAGAAGGGATTACAACCTTCTGTGTGAAGCTTTGATCAGGGAGTACGACCCCTGCACAGGACCTGCTGGTTTCCCGGCTGCTGACAAGGTCACGCAAGGGAAGCATGAACATCCAAAGGTTTATTACAAAAGAATCTTCCAAGCTTATTTTGGTTACAGAAATGAAACCGGAATGGAGGAAGAAGAAGGTTTTAAATTTATTTTCAGCTAAAATCTCCACACTGACTTTAAAACGTCAGTACAGATGATGGCTAATTTCAGAGAAAAATCCATCACTGAGATTAAACAGTGTGCTGTGAATGTGTTTGAGGCATGTTCTCATGCTAAGACGCCCATAGAGGTGTTTCCTGGTGTAAAGGTTAAACCCCACTCCCTAGAACTGGAAGGACGGCGTGCATCGCCTCCCCCTCCTAAGAAAGGCGAGAAAAAGCAGTCTTTTCAAACTAACAAACCGCGTCATGAAGGTGCACGCTGGGACAAAAAAGCTCCTCTTTTAGAGGATGAACGTGATTATCGTAAATGGGGTGTGCGTAGGACGCAAAGATATGGGAACCAAGGTGACCCATATTATCAGGGGAAGTCCGAAAAGGAACCCCCAAATGATGTACTTATTCCTCCTCCACCTCGGACGAAACGAACCGAGGTGAAAAAAATCACAAAGGTTCCAGAAACAAGGCCCTACACCTCTGAGCTCGGAAGAGACAGAGAAACTACGCAGGTTTTTAGAAACTTTGAAACACACTGACACGGGAAACCAACCTGGAGCACTATGCAGTGATGTAATCGCTATTACATCTGAGGGCGCGAATGACAAC